TCGCTCCAGGTTTCCAGTTCCCTTCCTTTCATTTTGCACTGTAGTTCCTTTTTACTTCGGGCTCCTCGTTTATGAGAAGCTGTGTGCCACGTAAGCCTGTGGGTGCCATTTGTTCTGTTCAGCAGCACAGTCTCTAGGGGCACCCATTTTCCTACAGATGACTCGAGCCTTCTTAAGGCTGGCCAAATGGCTCGGTGGATTAAAGTGCCTGCGAGCAGGCACAGGGGCCGGGGTTCGATCCCCAGGCTTCCCTTGCCAGCCTTGCCCCCAGGGCATGCTGAGACAGCTATGGAGACTGGATGTGGTGGTGCATGGCTGTAAGCCCAGCTCTTGGGAGGCTGTAAACAGGCAGATCACTACTAGTCCAATCTGTATTGAGACCCTGAACATTCTGTAGACCCTTCCCTAAAATAAAAAAGTTTACCCTTCTTCAGAGCAGAGTAGTACTCCACAGTGACACCTGTGATGAGGATGCCAACGTCCACGATTCACAGCTCAGCTCTAGAGTGTCTCCGAGGGCTGTGCCTGTGCCCTGCAGTCATTTGCTGCAGCCCCTCGTGCGTCCAGCCCTGCTGCAGCGTCCCCCCACCCCTGAACACATACCCCTGGTCTTCCCGGGCCCTGCTTCGTTCCTACTCTGGATCCACTTGCCAGCCTCTTGAGGTCGCTACTGTCTGCTCCCTGGGGAAAACGCGCTCTTCCGGCCTCACCCCTGCAGGAGCAGGCTAGCCTGAACCTCCATTTCCCCGTCTCCTCGTCCTCGGCCAAGTTGCACCTCTGGAGACTCTGCCCCAACCCACAGTGTGCGCAAATCTGGTCAACCACAAGGCCCCGCCAGTACTTTCTGCCTGCTAATTTTCCAGCCCGCTGGACCCTGCCCTGGCCAGTCTCCCTTCTGTGTGTGGCCTTCCTCCTGGGCCACTTCCCGCAAGCTGAGCTCCAAGCTGCGGGCCGGTATTTGTTTCTCCAGCACTGAGTGTCTGGCATGCGGAGATGCCTGGTAAGTAACTGAGCTGAAGTTGAGAAAGTGGAGCTGCTCGAGAGAGAAGCCAAAGCGCGCCAGAGTCTGAGCTCCGGGCTCGGAGGGAGCCGCTGCTCCAGGTCGCAGGAAGCTGCAGGGCGTGGCCACAGCGTGGACGCCCTTCCCGCGTCAGCTGCATCCTGGCCTGC